GCTCAAGCAGTAGTGCGCTTGCCTGGCATGTGTGCGGCCCGGGTTCCATCCTCAGCACCACATAAAAGAAAGATGTTGTGTCCGCCAAAAACTAAAAAAAAAAAAAAAAAAGATATTGTGTCCATCTATAACTAACAAATATTTTGAAAAAATTTCAACATAAGTTGGGTATGGGGGCACACACCTGTAATCTCAGCAATTTGAGAGACTGAAGTAAGAGGACTGCAAGTTCAAGGACAGTCTCTGCAATTTAATTAGACCCTAAGCAACTTAGCAAGACCCTGTCTCAAAATAAAAAATAAAAGGGCTGGGGATGTAGTTCAATGGTAAAGCATCCCTAGGTTCAATCTTCAGTACAGGAAACAAAACAAAACAAAAAAATCAACATTAGCTAGGTGCAGTGGCACACACCTATAATCGAATCACTTGGCAGGCTGAGGCAGTTCAAGGCCAGCCTGGGCAATTTAGCAAGAGCCTGTCTCAAAATAATATAAAAAAGGGCCAGGCATGATGGTGCACACCTATAATCCCAGCAGGTAGGGAGGCTAAAGCAGGAAGATTCAAAGTTCAAAGCCAGCCTCAGCAACTTAGGGAGGCCCTAAGCAACTCAGCAAGTCTCTAAATAAAATACAAAAAAGAGCTAGGTATGTGGCTCAGTAAAGTGCCCCTCTGTAAAAAGGATTAGGGGTATAGCTTAGTGGTAAAATGCCCCATATCACAAAAAAAAAAAAAAGGAAAGAAAGAACAAAACATGAGTTTTGGAAGGGATATCAAACTAAAAAGCTTCCCTCCACAGCAAAGAAGCAACAGAATGAAGAGACAGAATGGAAGAAAATATCTGAAAATAATATATCCAAAAAGGGGTTAACATCCAAAATGTAAAATAAAAAACATAAGGAATGAATATAAGGAATTCAACAGCAAGAAAATAACCAATTAGGGGTTGGGGATGTAGCTCTAAGGCCCTGGGCTAAATCCCCAGCACTGCAAAATAAGAAAATAATCAATTAAAAATGAGCAAAGGGCTGAGGATACAGTTCAGTTGGTAGAGTACTTGCCTTGTGTGAACAAGGCCCTGGGTTAAATCTCCAGCACCAACAACAACAACAACAAAAAAGTCAAAAAATGAGCAAAGGACCTGAATAGACTTTTCTCAAAAGAAGACATATAACTTTCCAACAGATAATGTGAAAAAATGCTCAATGTTAGTAATCATCAGGGAAATGAAAATCAAAACTACAAAGAGACATCATCTCACAGCTGTTATTTGATGAGGATATGGAGAAAATTGAACCCTTGGGCTGGGGCTGTAGCTCAGTAATAGAGCATTTGCCTAGCATGTGTGAGGAACTGGGTTCAATCCTCAGCACCACATAAAAATAAAGAAAGAAAATAAAGGTCCATCTAAAAAACTATTTAAAAAAAAAATTCGAACCCTTATACACCGCTGGTAAGAATGTAAATTGATATAGCCATTATGGAAAACTATATATGTCTCATGGGCTGAGACATGAGGATTTCAAGTTCAAGACCAGCCTCAGCAACTTAATGAGGTTCCTAAGCAACTTAACGAGATCCTATCTCAAAATAAAAAAAGGATTGAGGATTTGATGTGATTCAATGATTAAGCACCTCCAGGCTCAATCCCCAGTACCCAGAAAAGAAATAAAATTAATGTCTTAAGAAAACATTGGGGGGGGGGTGCTGGGGATATGGCTCACCTGGCATGCATGAGGCACTGGGTTCGATCCTCAGCACCACATAAAAATAAAATAAAGATATTGTGTCCACCTAAAGCTAAAAAATAATTTTTTTTTTTTTTTTAAAAAGAAAGAAAACATCTGGGAACTGGGGTTGTGGCTCGTGGTAATGCGCTTGCCTAGCATGCAGGAGGCATTGGGTTGGATTCTCAGCACCACATTCGAATGAATAAAATAAAGGTCCATCAACAACTAGAAAATATTAAAAAGAAAACATCTGCACTCCCCTGGTCACTGCAGCATAATTCACAATAGCCAAACAAACTATGGAGTCAACCAAAGTGCCTATCAACAGAGGAACAGATAAGGAGTTATATACACAATAGTATAATATCCAGCCTTTAAAAAAGAAAGTAATTCTATCATTTGCAACATGGATGAACCTTTACTCCTTATGGCAGTCATAATACTATGTAAAATAATTCAGGCACAGAAAAACAAAGCAAGAGCTCAATTACATGTAGAATCTAAAAAAGCCAACTCATATAGAAGCAGAGAGTAGCACGGCAGTTGCTAGGATCTGGGGAGGTGTTGGTCAAAGGGCACAAAGTTTCAATTAGGTAGGATGAGAAAGTTCTGGAGAGCTATCATATAGCAAGGTGACTACGCTTATCATATACTTGAAATCTGATAAGAGAGTAGATCTTAAATGGTCTCACCACTCACGGAAATACAGTAACTATGTGAGGTGATGAATACATTAATTAGCTTGATTGTGATAATCATTTCATGATGTATACATATATCCAAGAATCATATATACAGCAAACATAGAATATTTGTCAATTACCATACACCTCAGTAAGCTGGGGAAAATTTTAAAAAATAAAAATAAACACTGGACATAGTGGTGATGCTTGTAATCCCAGTTTGGGAGGCTAAGGTAGGAAGATCACAGGTTCAAAGCCAGCCTTAGCAACTCAGACAGGCTATAAGCAATCTAGGGAGATCCTGTCTCAAAATAAAAAAACAAAAAGGTCTGGGGATGTGGCTCAGTGATTAAGTACACTTGGGTTCAATCCCTGGTATGCATGTATGTATGTATGTATGTATGTATGAATAAATAAATAAACAGCACTACCACAGGAACTATGTTCCAAGTAAAAGCCAAAACAGTCAACATAGCTCCAAAAATTAAAAAAGACATCCTCTTCATCAAACTTTCACTGAACATTTTTCTAACTAGGGTCGCCTGGGTACTGGGAATGGGATGAACAATCATCTTCAAGAAGCTCATGACATGATGAGTGTAAAAAAATTAGCCTCCTATCAAAGGTCTCATTCCCTGTGTCATGGTTTTAGACTATGTCCTTTGGGAATTGAGAATCTAACTCAGTGGTAGAGCACTTGCCTAGCATGCATAAGATCCTGAGTTCCATCTCTAGCACTGTAAAGAATAAAATATGTCCATAAATTCTTTGATATTCCTTCCTTCAAAGACTGTAATTTAAGTCTTTTCTCACTAGCATGGGCTAGCCTTAGTGACTCACCTCTAATAAATAGAATGTGACAGAAATAAAAACTGTAGGGGCTGTAGCACTTGCCCAGCATGTATGAAACACATCACTACATAGAAATAAATAAAGGTCCAACAGCAATTAAAATAAATAAATATATGTGTATGTGTGTGTGTGTGTGTGTGTGTATAAAAAGAAAAATTGTGACTTCCAATGGTAGTTCAAAAACACACTGTGGATTCCACCTTGCTCTCTTAGATTACTCAGTGGAGAAAGCCATAGACCATGTCCTGAGATACTCAAGTAACCCATAGAGATCCACATGACAAGGATAAGATGTCTCCTAACAATAGCTGATAAGGAACAGAGGCCTCTGCCGCCAGCCACATGGAGAAGTCCTCTTAGATCTGGAAACTCAAACTCTAGGCAAACCTTTGAAATGACTACAGCCCTAGCTTCCTGACCAGTGTCTTGCCGGCAACTTCATGAGAGATCCTGAGGTATCTAGCTAAACCACTCCCAAATTCCTGACCCACAGGAATTATTAGGGTAATTTGTAATTTAGCAATAGAAAACTGAAACACCATTCTGGTGGTAAATAAAATTAGGGCATAATGTGGTATCTGGGTTAAAGAGTATGGGAATTCTTTGTAATGCTTTTGGTTTTCTTTGTAAATCTGAAATTACTTCAAAATGAGAATTAAATATACATACATATATAATTACATATGTACAGTATACATGTATATATATGTATATATGTATATATACACACACATAGATACAATATATATGTGTACTTATGTGGGCAGAATGAAAACCCCTTTTTAAAATTTTTTTTTTAGTTGTCGATGGATCTTTATTTTATTTATTTATACATAATGCTGAGGATTGAACCCAATGCCTCATACAAACCCCAACCTCTGAAAACCCCTTTTTACTAAAGCCTAATTCAGTTGCATATGTGGAGAATTCAGTGTGAAAGCAGTCATTAGTTATTTAACAGTATGAATATAGTATTTTTTTTTTAAATATATATTTTGGGGTTGGGGTTGTGGCTCAGTGGTACAGCAATCATCTAGCATGTGTGAGGCCCTGGGTTTGATTCTCAGCACCAAATAAAGATAAATAAATTAATGTATTGTGTCCATCTATGACTAAAAAATATTAAAGTAATAATAATAAAATATATATTTTTAGTTGTAGGTGAACACAATACCTTTATTTTATTTTTATGTGGTGCTGAGGATCAAACCCAGTACTTCATTCAGGCTAGGTGAGTGCCTACCACTGAGCAAGAAACCCAGCCAATGGATAAAGTATGTTAAATGCATTGAGTTTATTAAAAGTAAAAGTCACTTGTAAACACACCAAAAAAAAATGAGGAGAAAAGATAAAGAAGGGAGTAATTACTGATCTCTTACTCTGTGCCAGGCACATACTGATGCTTTTATCTACATGTTCCTCTTAAGTCCTCACAACAATCCTACAAAGCAAGAATTATTTTCCCCCATTTTACAGGTGATGTAACTGAGACACAGAGTTAAAGTGACTAGCTCAAGATCCCACTACTTGCAAATAGCATTCTCTAGAGTTTGCTTAACTTAAAGGCTGTGCTCCTCCCCGATCACTCTGCTGAACTCTTGCCTCCAAATGTATCTGCAATGTGCTCCCACAATGCCTGTGAGGATATTTCTGTGAATAGAGCTCAGCCTAAGGCTTGGGTATGATGACAGCCTTAGCATCAAAAAGGGGATACCAAAGAAAGCAAGCCCCTTCTTACCTTTTCCAGTCACATAGTAGGCCCCCAGTTTGTAGCAGCTATCACTGTGCTTGTTCTCTTCACAGTTGAACTTCAACACCTTTGCAGCCTCATAAAAATTCTTCTGGATCCCTTCTAAATAGTCCACCAGCCGATAGCAACCTGTGAGGAAAGGGCAAGAGCTGTTCAGGTCTAGGACTGCTGCTCAGTAGGGAGGTTCCAGTGTGACAGGTCAGACTGAGTCATTTATTTAGGACCAGCACTGTCCTCCTCTGGTGTGGCAAACTAACCTTACCACAAAGACTATAAGTGGTATTTAGCCATTCCTATAAGTGGCTTTTTCTGCCATTCACCAGGGACTGAGCAATGCATGGACTAGGGGAAACCTTGACCCCTGCACTGGCTATACCACTTGCCACTGCTGGCCCAAAGACCTAGTGACTTCCATTGCAGAAACTATGCTAGCTTTGGAACTTCTGGTGAAATCTAGTAGTAAAACCCCTAAAAGCCAAGACTAGATCTGGGGTTGTAGCTTAGCAGTAGAGCGCTCGCCTAGCAAGTGTGAGGCGCTGGGTTCAATCCTCTGCACCACATAAAAAATAAATACATAAAATAAAGGTATTGTGTCCATCTACAACTAAAATATATGTTTAAAAAAAAAAAAAAAACAAGGCTAATAAGCTAATCTTGTGACAGCAAGAAAGAAATGTGGCAATGACTACACCTTATTCCTTGGCCAGGCTAGGAACATGGCAGCTACCAAAAGAGCTAGAAACTGGCTCTTCCTCCTTGGCAGTCTCCTTGTTCCAGAAAATCTCCCTCCTTTTGGGGGGATGGAATGGGATACCAGGGAATAAACCCGGGGGCACTTAACCACTGAGCCACATCCCCAGCCCTTTTTATTTTGAGACTGGATCTTGCTGAATTGCTTAGGGCCTCACTAAATTGCTGAGGCTGCTCTCAAACTTGCAATCCTCCTGCTTCAGCCTCCCAAGATCCTGGGCTTACAGGTGTGCCCCACCGAACTGGGCAAACCTCACTCCTTAAAATCTCCTTCCTCAGGGCTGGGATTGTGGCTCAGTGGCAGAGCACTTGCCTTGCAGATATGAGGCACTAGGTTCGATCCTCGGCACCACAAAAAAAATAAATAAATAAAATAAAGTTACTTAAAAAAAAAAAATCTCCTTCTTCATTCCTTACAATATCATATGTCATTTCTCATTCAATTTCAAAAATATTTGAGCATCAAAGAGCATCTATGTACCAGATATACAGATGCTAGGAATATAGCAATTTGCTCTCCTAAAATTTACATTCTAAAGGAAGAAATACAAAAAATAAGCAAATAAGTGAAGAAGATGTATTCAAACAATAAAAAATGTTTCTATTTAAGTAAAACAGGATGACAAGCAAGTAAGTATAGAATGGGCAATCAAGAAGGATCTTAAGTCTCACTGAGGACTGTGCTGTCTTAGCTGAGATTTGAATAAGGAGAAAACACTACCTATTTGCAGACAATGAGGAGCAGGCAAGTGTAGCTCAGCAGTAGAATCCTTGCCTATCATGAAAAAAACCGCCCTCCTTTTTTTTGGGGAGGGGGTAATATACCAGAGAATAAACCCTGGTTCCTCAATGCACAGCACTGAAAATAAATAAACTTAATTCTGACTACACATTCTGACTTCAACCTTCTAAAGGAACACTTTCTTCTCCCACCATCTCCATTTCATCAACGGCAGATTAGCCCTATAGACTGCCCCTAACTACCCTGCTCCTCAGTGATCTCAATTCCTCTGAAATTTATAGATTATTAGGGCTTGGACTAGCTCACAGAGAAAATTCTTCCATGTAGTTGGTTAGCTAAAAAATATAGCAAAGTCACATTCTGAAAATCAGATGGCAAGCTCTAAGAAGGAAGGATGTGAATTTTTCTCCACCTTTTAAAAAAAATAAAGTAGGGCCCAGAATGGTGTGCACACTCACCTGTAATCCCACCAGCTCAGGAGAATCCTGCGTTCAAAACCTACCTCAGCAACTTGGCGAGGCCCTAAACAACATAGTGAGACCCTTGTCTTAAAACAAAATATTAAAAAAGGCTGGGGATGTGAGTTGGAGGTTAAGCGCCCTTGGGTTCAATCCTTGGTACCAAAACAAAAATCAAAAAACCAAAACCTTGCATGGTTCAACTCCCTTGCCTTCTTCAAGGCTTCTTTCAAGACTTCTTCAAGAATTGTTCAAATGCCAGTTTCTCAATAACTCCCTTGTCCGATGGATCAATTTACAATCGTCTTCCTAAACTCCAGTAGCCCTTCACCCTTTTTTTCCCCCTCTGAACTTACCAGTTCCGAACCCCATCATTTATTTCCTTATCTTTACTGACTGATTCCCCTATCAGAATGTAAGCTCCTTGAGGGCAGGGAATTTCATCTGTTCACTAATGTATTCCCAGTCCCTTGACCTCAAATGCCAGAACAGGACTCTTCCCCATCCCAGCCTGCAGCCTCATTCCGCCACGGCGCGCCCGCAAGTCCTGTTGCACACAACGCTCCTCTCATCACACACAAGGTCGCAAGTGTCCCGTAGACCTGGTCCCCAAATGTCCTCAGCCCGCCACGTGATGCTCCCTCCAGGTTCCCTGAGAGTTCGCTCACTCAATCCCACCCCTGACATGTCCCCAGACAGCGCCGCTGGAGCTCACCTTCCGGGTCCTTCTCGTGGTAGCACTGGTAGTTGCACTCCACCTCCATGTTCTCCAAAAATGACTTTACCTGCTCCGCGTCTTGGAAGTCCACCAGCCCCGCCATGACTGCAGCTCCTCCAACCCGCTTTGGCCCGGCGCTCCACCTACGGTCACGCGGGGGCGGGGCCTGGGAAGGGCGGGACGCTGACGTCTGAACTCTCCGCGGATTCGCAGAGACTAATAGGCGAGCCTGGGCTTCCCGTCAGCCCGCGCGCTGTTAAAGTCTGGTAGACGCTTTTCTAATACTGACCTAAGTTCTAAAACTGGTGCGGATCTTTCTGTAGACCTGCTTTGTGGTCTTAATGACTTTCAACCTGCAGGCATTTGTCCATTCTTTCGTCCATGGGTTCATTAGTTCAGTAATTCCTAAGCGCAGTGTGCTTCAACAGTTGTTTGGTTTTAGGGATGTGAGAGGTCTTCAAAAGAGCTTGCTGTTCATTGGGAGAACATTTGCTTATTAATTCAGCAAGCTTTTCGAGTACTTTCTATATGGCAGGTATAGTGGGGCAAATCATAAGTCCATACAAGTTCAATGGGACATCTAGTTTGTCTCTGTGTTTCTTCCAGACCTATCAGGGCAGAGACACCTATGACCTAGGAAAGGAATGTGGCTGTGGGACACAGTAGCAGTAAAGATTGTAGTAATAACATTGTTATGATAATTGATGTATAAACAAAGCCGAACTTTATACTATAACTCTTTTTGCTAATTAACTCATTTTCTTTTCGCTGAAAATGTATGACTATCCCCAATATGCAGATGAGGAAACTAAAATACAGAGTCCAAAGTCACACAGTAAGTGAGGGGGTTGGTGTGCAATATTTTTTTGAATAACAAAATGAATGAAGTAGAAGAGGAACATGTCAAGAGGATGCAGAAGAGAAGAACTTCACCTTGTTTTGTTTTGTTCTGCTTAGAATCATTAGTTTCATAAGGCCAGGACAGAAAACTCTTCAAAGACAGTTCCTATTCATTTTTGAATCCCAGCCAGCCCTACTCTAGAGTCCTTAGTGGAGCTCAATCCATAGTTTTCCATCACCTATAGTGGTGCTTCTCAAATGACTTCACTACTAATCTGGCAAAGAGTGGACCATATCCAGCCACTTCTTTCTTGGGAAATGGCTTATTGCAGCTGGAATATAGCATTGAAATCCAAGTTTTAGTGTTTTAAATTAATATGACTATGTAAGCAATTACAATTCAAATCATCAGACTGATTTATATGTCCTTTGTATAACCCGTGGTTATGGGGTCAAGAATAGACAGGAGGGTTGTACCTCTGTGCTAGAGTGCTTGCCTTGCATGTGGAAGGCACTGAGTTCAATCCTCAACACCACATTAAAAAAATAAAATAAAATAAAGATATTGTGTCCATCGACAACTTAAAAAAAAAAAGAATAGATACAGGCCCAGTTTGGATGATATAGATACCTAAAATCAGGGATGGCCACAACTATTACTTTCCCCTTAGTAGTATTTGGAGAGTTTAATTGCACTGAAATGAAACAATCAGAGCAGTAGAGGGCAATAGAGAGTTGGTAAAAAGATGGAAGAGAGCTAAGCTAAGTATGAAGTCACATTTTAAAAAGAAATTTAAGATCATGCAGCCAGCTTCTTCTTGTATTTCCCTGTATATTTATTTGCCTTCTATTCTTTGTTACCACTGTTTACTGGTGAGTCCTTGCTTCCCGAATGCTAAAGTATAACACCAGAGAAGCACCCTAAGGAAAGTGGAAGCCTTTTTTAAAAGATAGCAGAAAAGACTTCTCCCCAGAGGAAGAAAGGGAAAGGCAAAAGGCCATGGAAGGGGGAGGTCTTCCCTTTTTTATAGCTAAAGTCTTCTTTTAGTTTTCCCACATTCATGTCCTTTGTTTCCCTTTATCTTGCAGTGATAAAATGCAGGTGGGAAGGCCAAAAGGTGGGAGAGAGGTGTACTTACTGGAGGAGTAATCTGGGCAGGAAGGGCCTGGGGTGGTTTGATTAGCAACTCCCTATTTGCTGGAAGCAAATTCCATAGGATGGGTTCTGGGCCTTGGGGGAATTAACATTTCAATTTCCCCAAGTGCTGCTCTGGTTTCCTGGACTCCATTCTCGGTAATGGTCTCCATTTTCTTTTTTTTTTTTTTTAAATGTTTATTTTTTAGTTTTAGGTGGACACAACATCTTTATTTTATTTTTATGTGGTGCTGAGAATCGAACCCGGGCCGCACGCATGCCAGGCGAGCACGCTACCACTTGAGCCACATCCCCAGCCCTCCATTTTCTTTATCTTACTCGATATTAGACCCGATTTGCCTAACTACACTAACTACCTATCTTTAAATCTGGCTTCATCTTCAATGCTGGGAACTGAACCCATGGAATCACACATGCTAGGCAAATGCTCTATCAACTGAGCTACATCCCGAGCCCCCCCCTCCATTCTTCTAAATGTTCACCTTTACTTTTTAAACTTAATAGTTTTAATTACTTAAGTTAATACATTAATATGTGCTTATTGAAAAATATAACTTCATGGTTTTCACTTGTTAGCCCTTTTCTATAAGCATAATGCAGGTTGCAGACATTATTCCAACTGTTGACGAGAAACTGAGGTCAGAGAAGTTAAGTAATTTATTCCAAAACATACAGTGAGTTGGACATGGTGGTCCATGCCACCCAGCAACTCATGGGGCTGAGACAGAAGTACTGCAAGCTTGAGTCCAGCCTCAGCAACTTAGTGAAGCCCTAAACAACTTAGTGAGCCCCGGGTCTCAAAATAAAAAATAAAAAGGGCCAGGATGTGGCTCAGTGGTAAAGCACCTCTAAGTTCAATCCCCAGTACCAAAAACAAACAAACAAAAAACACAATAAGAGGATAGGGATGCCTTTTGTAATCCTAGATTTACAACAAGATTCGAAAGGAAGAATTCAAGAGCTTTACAGAGCTCACTTCCTGACTCCAGACTTAGATTCAACTAATAGTTGTTGATCACTATTTCACCTCTTCTTCACAGCATTGCTTTTTATTCATCAAACATTCCCTGGGTGCTTAATAATGACTAGGGTTTAAGGGCTACAATAATGAAAACAAGGTTTCAACAAGAACATGCAATTCTTGAAAGAGGAAAAGTATGAACATGCATAAACATATGATAAGATGATTAAAGGAAAACAATGTGGTATTTTTCATCTGTTAGTTTTACAAAGATGGACATCCTATGTTTGTGAGCATACTGAGAAACCAGCATTTCCACAGACTGTTAGTGCAGTTATAGATTGATGCCTCCTTTTTGGAAAGCAATTCGGTAGTATTTACTAACATTGAAAATGTGCTTATGTTTTTACCTAGAAATTCAACCTCCAAGAATGTATCCTACAAAAAAATTCTTCCACAAATAAATAAATACTTGCTGCAGGTGTTGTTGCCGCTGCTGCTGTTCTTAGAAACAACAAATGTGAGCTGGGGTTGAAGCTCAGTGGTAGAGTGCTTGCCTAGCATGTGTGAGGTTGTGGGTTCAATCCTCGAAACCACACACACAAAATAAATAAGTAATAATGTTTTTATATAAATCTACAAATAAAAATATTTCAAAAAAAAAGAAAAACAAGTGTCCTATAATAGTGGATTTGAATGCAATGTAGATATTAAAAAGAATGAAACATATATTCAGACCAACATTGAAAGACATATTTTTTATTTTAAAAAATTTTATAATAATGTATTCTCCAAATAATTCATTTCATTTACTAGATTTGGTACCAAACTCTTCTTTATTATCAAAACATAAACATTTGCCTTCCAGATATGAAGATTTACTATGCCTGAAGACCTCTAGCCCTTTTGGGCTGGTAATACCTGTAGAAAATTCCCAAATAAATCAGCAAGGATAATAAATTTAAAATGAATATGAATATTGCTTCCTAAGGTGATAACTGGGAAGGTTATATAGCCCTTAAAATTTCACTTCTGTCATAATACTTCAAGGTTAAGCCTTGTATTTGAGATAAATAATGAAGATACTCAGCTAAAATAATTCAATATTTTCAAGCTGAGTTTCTTATACTCCTAACTTGCTTTCTAATCCATAATGAGAAAAAAATAGTACCACCCCTCAAATTGTTACAAAACTGCCAAATTCCAACCAAGCCCTGGAGCCCTTACCCATATAATCTTATTTTATCCTCACAACAAAGCTGTGCAGTAGGCACAGTTACAAAACACCAGTCTTGTAAGTAAGAAAACTGGGGTTCAGAGAAGCAAAAGATACAAGATTCTCAAGGTCAGAAAGAGGCAGAATGGAAATTCAAACTCAGATCTTTCCTACTCTGGCTTGCTTGTACTGACCACTCAACCACAGAAAGATTATATATATATATAAATAAAAGAGAGAGAGAATTTTTTAATATTTATTTTTTAGTTTTTCGGTGGACACAACATTTTTTTTTTATATGGTGCTGAGGATAGAACCCAGCACCCCGCACATGCCAGGCGAGCGCATTACCGCTTGAGCCACATCCCCAGCCCCACAGAAAGATATTTGAATGCATTATTAAGTGAAAAATAAAAAGTTGTATTGTACAACATCATTTTTGTTTAAAAACTAAACTTTAGCCTGGTATGGTGGTGCACGCCTGTAATCCTAGCCACTGGGGAGGCTGAGGCATGTTAGAAATAGCGAGGTGCTGAAAGAAATCAAACAAATGCCTGAAAGTGGGTGGGCAAGGCAAACATTTACTTATAACAGAAGGGCATACTACAGAACCTGGCTAGCAAGTATGCCTGGGCAGAAGCGGTGTATACACTTTTTGGCAGCTTTGTCCTTTGCCCTCATTGGAGGACTCAGGGGCACAATCTATGCGATTGGCTAATTTTAATATTAGGGTGGGCAAAAGGGAAGGGCTATAATTAAAATGGTTACAATTGGATCCAACTAAGTCTGAATACTGTATACTGAAGATGGACCACCAGTCTTTCTATTTCTCACAGACATGAGGATCTCAAGTCCAAGGCCAGTCTCAGCAACTTAAAGAGATCTTGTCTCAAAAACAAATAAATAAATAAGAAGACTGGAAATGTAGCCCAGCGGTAAAGCACCTCTGGGTTTAATCCCCAGCACCAAAAATAA